ATATTGATGTCACTAAGCTCATTTCATTCGAAGAGGGTAGTACTCTTCCTGGAGAGGAGAGGGTGGAGATTGAAAAGGATGGTTTTGTGTTAGAGGAAGAAATTGTTAATGTGGAGGAACTTACAAATGAATCTTGGAAATCAGTTTGGGGAGAACCATGTGAGAAGGTGTGCTTAATAGTGAATGAGCAAGCGAATGTTCTGGGGGTGGTAGCGAGAAAGAAAATACAAGAGGCTCCTCCTCTTTCGGTCACTACATGGTTGGCGACCAAGAAGAACATAACAAGATCTTTCTTAAATGTTTCTCTATGAAGATTCCAACATGGAACTTGCGTGGCTTAGCCTCGTCGTGCCCGAGGTTACGTGAAATTGTTAGCCACAATTCTGTTGATTTAGTTGCTATTATTAAACCTTTAGTTTATCAAAATAAAGGGGAATACTTTATGCATAGCTTGGGTTTCTCTAAACTATATATGTCATCTTCAAATAAAATATGGGTGATGTGGAATACTAACTCATTTGAAGTAGATTCAATTCGAGAGATGGACCAATTTTTTATTATCAAAGTTAAATTCCTTCCTAGGGATTTAACATTACTTTCTCGCCAGTTTATGGTCTTCATACAAGGAGTGATATGGCTAGTTTATGGGCGGGAATGGTTGATTTTGTGCAACAGGATAATTCAGCCTAGATTTTGGGGGGTGACTTTAATGTTGTGGTGTCAGTCTCGGACTATAAAGGAAATTCTAGCCCTTTGATAAATGATATTGTGGACTTCAGGGACGGTATAGACTCTTGTGAGTTAATTGATTTTCCTACGATAGGGTCTACATATACATGGACGGCTGTTCGGTCAAGTGTTAAAGTTTGGGAGAAGCTGGATCGATATTTGGGAAACCAAGGCTTTGTTACTAAATTTGGGGCAGTTTGTACTCAACATTTGAGTAAAAATCCCTCGGATCACCGCCCGATTCTTTTAATTTGCGAAGAGGCTTCTGTTGGGCCCCCAAACAATTTCATTTCCAAAACATGTGGTTTTCCCATTGGAGATTTCTTGCCATGGATGAAGGAGAGGTGGACTGGCTACCCCACAGTGGGTGGTATGAGGGGGTTAACTGACAAACTACGACGATTGAAGTTAGATTTGAAGCGGTGGAATAAAGAGGGGTTAGTGTTTATAACTGTGATGTTATAAATGTATTGTTTTTAATATTTAATGATTAATTTGTCATTTAAGATTGTTACTTGTTTCCTAAAATGGAAATGAGAACTTTTATATGGGACGTCCCATAAAAAAGTGAGAACCTTTCTACGGGACGAAGACAATATTAATAATGAAAGTCTTGCAATGACAAATAGCAAATTAAAAGCGGTGCAATTACATAGATCAGGGTAGTATTATTTATTTCACAATGGAAGTTTAGAATATTAAATGTATCCTCATGAATGGAAGTTTAAGATGTTAAATGTATCCTCAAACTATTATTGATTGTGCAATTAGGTCCCTGAATCAGAAGATTTACAAATACACTCATCAACTCATTGAAAATTAAGCGATTAGATCATTTTTACCGGATGGTGTCGGTAATTTTCATGAGAAAGGTATCTCCTTACATGCATCAACGGATAAAAAGGACATGTCTGCTAAATATTTAATGAGTTGAGAGTGTATTTGCAAATAGTCTAAGAGCTTATTTGCCCCTTTTGTCATATAAAACTCATTACACCTTTATTTACAACTTATGCTATAATAATCATTTGATTTGAGATATCTATAACTTAAATAAAATAATAAAAGAAACTAGATATATATAGAATTCTGTTCAAATGAGAAAATGATCTTAGGAGAGAAATGAGAATGAATCTGGACCGTTAGATTGTATTATGTGAATTTTAATGTGCATTATGTGAAAATGAAATGTATTGCACAAAAGGTAAGACAAAGTGCATTATGTGAAACTGAATTAAGCATTAGGTGAAACTTAATGGTGCGTTAGGTGAAACTGAAATATGCATAATAAATATTGTAGCATGATGTCTATAAATACTTCTTGTAATTACCCTAAAAGGGATCCACCTCTAAAATAATAATACTGCCTCACGTTGTCAAAATATTCTTTTCTCGTAAATTAGCTCTTGTAGTTGGAATTAAACTCTATCACTTGGTACTTTCATTGAGAGCTCATCAATGACGAACACGATGACTCGATCACACGGTCACAACCGGGTTGGTAGCAATTAGTGAGATGCCAAAATCGACCAAGTTGTCATCGAGGACGAAGGATCTCATTCGCGGTGAAGTGATTTTCAATGATAGAATGATAATGTGCTACCTCCAGTGATTTGATGAATCGCCCGCATGGCGTGGGGAGTTCCAGGCATCCTACAACATGCCCATCTCAACTACGAACACCTTCTGCAGGGCGTCCCATTCAGGACGTGGATCCCGCGCAGGCGTTGGTGGTAAGGTGTGAAACCCCAACCACGGCTTTTCAGGGAATCATCCCCAATACTACAACGAGGTAGCCTTCTCCCCATCATGTCACTATTGTGCCACATAAGGTAGAAGCAGGGGCATCACCGGAGGACTTCACCCCAACCGAGCCCCTGTGGATCTCATCGCTCGCACTAGACGCCAAGAACCTCATTAATGAATCGAATAGGGGTGAGAAGGGTTACTGTCCATGATAGACTCTCCTCGAGGGTTAGAGAGAGTGAGGGAACATCTTCTGCAACCATCTCTTCCCACCGCCATAGTGCGTGTGGGGGAGGTGATAGAACTAAGGCCTCAGACATCGGCAAGCTTGTAGAGACCACACCCCCACCTCATAATCAGGCGGCGGGGATGTGACCGACCTCGAAAGGCGGCTTGATAACCTGAGAAAAGTGGTGGACGGTAGGTCCGACCTCACACATGATGTGAGGATTCTCGAACCATGCATTTGTGCGATGAACTATGGACGACCCTCTACCACAGAAGTACAAGCCTTGTAACCTTGAGGTCTATGGTGAGAAGAACGATCCCCAACGCCACGTGTCCAGGTACATGGCTTCAATGGTTATGATGGGATTTGAAGATGCAATCAGATGTCGAGGATGTTCCATCACACTGGACCTTCCAACTCGGGAATGTTATGATTCATTACCCGACGAGACGATACTGAACTTCCACGAGTTGGCCCAAGCGTTTATTGCGTGGTTCGCTAGCTCAAAAGATTCCATGAAAAACTTCTCTCACTTCATGGGAGTCAAGCAAGGGCGCCAGGAGACATTGACTGCCTTCCTAGCTCATTGGAGGATTTAATCGGTGAAGGTCGATGGTTTGGATGACACAACGGTTGTGACCATTTTTAGCAATGCATCTTCAAATCATATGAGGGATGAGAATCGTCCAAAACGATGCATATTATATTAGTATGGTTCACAGAAGTACACATTTATAGTTAATGTGAAGTTCAAATATGCAGGTTGGTGGTTAAAATAATGCAAAGTTCAAATGCATATTTTTTAATTTATGATAGAGCACATTTATGTTTCACGTAATGCATGATACGCAAATTCAAACGGTCCAGAATCGTTCTTATTTCTATTGAGATGTATTTTAATTTTTGCTACACTTTCCGTTAATTTTCTTTTTAGAATACCGAATTACTTTTACTTTTACTACTTTTTTATTTCATGCTTTTCCACTCTTTTCATATTTTTTCAATACTATTTATTGATTCTTATTTTTAAATATTGTGTTAAATTGTACCTACCTAGTACTCACTCTGTCCCGTTGGAAGGTTTCCGTGAGCAAATCACACGTTCTTAGGCATATAATTAAATAAAGTAATTTGGATAAAAAAGGAGAGGAAAAAGAAAATTTAGGAAAATGGAACATGTGAAAGTAATTAATGAGAGATAAGTTGGGGAGACAAATTATAAGACTTGACATATAATAATAGGAAAGAGAAATTCGAGTAAAGATGTAATTAAAATAAATAAATTATTTCATAAAATGAAATGATAACCTTTAAATGAGACATTCGAATAAAGAAAGTGAGATCTCTCTCGGGAAATATTACAATAATAAATATATATATATATATAAAAGAGAAACTTTTTAAGAGCATCCAAAGCGCCACATAATCCTGCCATGTCATCCATCATATATAACAATTATTTAGTTATTTTTATACACCGTACCTTTTATTTTTATTGAATTCTATTTTTGATTGCATATTGATATGAAAACAAATGACTCTAGATTCCATCACTTTTGAAATAGATCGATTCCTAATCTAAATTAGAAAATCTTTATATGTTTACAAATTCTTAATTTTGTTTACTCTTAAGATGTTTTTAATTAGATTGATTTCAGTCTCAGACTAAATTAGATCAGATCAAACTTTAAAAATAATTGGACACATAAAATGTAAAACAGAAATCTACCAGATCATATTACTTTAGACCAAATCAAACTGAAAATTTTAATTCAATTAAAAACGTCCTTATTAATGACGTTTTCAGTGTGATGAAATAATAAGTAAAATGTAAAATCTTACTATTAAAAGTATGTACTCCATATTTCATACCAAGTTGAATGAGGAATATTAAAAAATATATTTTGAGGCGCATAATAAAGTAGTTTAGAGGACATGAAAATAATTAAGAAGCTTCTCTATGAATTCTTTAAAATCGGGTTCATAACAATTATGCTTAGTAGAGAAGCTTATGTAGAAGACCATTTATACTATTTTTCATATAATTTTTATTTATTTAACAAATGGAATATTTTTTTCATGATTCGGGATATTCACCTATTCAACCTATTCAGCTAGATTTCAATTAATTTCAGCAAAATAAACCAATTCCACCAATATTAGTATTATCAAACGGACTCTATATTTAGACTGAGTTTATTTTGCTTTTGTATCACATTATATATGAATCCGAAAAACAATCAAATTTTAAATTAGATAAATTACTATCCGTGCATCCCAGGGGTTTGAAACCCGGTGAACCATCATTCCAAATTGTCACTTAAAGAATATACATAGGCATACTAATCAAAACAAAATAAATAGGAAATCATTCCAAGAGCACCAAATCATAACGTTAGGTAATTTTCTATTCTCTCTCTACAACGTTTATGGATGTCTCATGACCCTATTCTTATTGGGATCTCCTCCACTTGATCAAACTCGACTTTGCCAGTTTTCTCACATATTTGTGGATATGATTGTGTTTTAGATGAAATGTTTTCTGAAATTTGCTTGCGCAGTATGGATATATATCTATCTGCCTACATTTGTATATAGTTTAACGTATACACATGTATACGTATGTGTCCATCCTGCTGGAGTTCTTTAAATAGGGTCTGGGGAAAATGGGTTTTCTTGTCACAAGTTTCTGACAAGTTAAGGGTTTTCTGTTAATCTCCTTTATCTTTTTTGAAATTTGGTAGGTTACTGAGTGTTTATTTGTGTTATTTACAGGTGGGACTGCAGAATCCAATCAGTTAGCCTTTATTAAAAGGTAAGATTTTAATTTGGATTGTTTAATCAGTTGCATATGAGTTCTGGATACATAGAATGTTTGAAGACAACGTTTTGGTATGTGTTAATCGTGTTATGTTTTCCAAGGAGGCTGGACTCTGATTTTAGATATGTATTTCTAAATGTGACTTTTGCAGTCAGGCATACTATCAAAGTATGGATTTTCTTTTAATAAATGAATTATAAAAGTTACACTAGTTGAACAACATAGAAATTTCTTTGTTGGAATAGTTTTTCCTTTTCCTATTAGATTTTCTTGCCCCAGAAGCAACTCATGCAATGGAATTGTTAAAGTAAGCTATTAAAGCTATGTTTGAATGACATTTTTCAGCTCAAAATGAGCTTAAATTTGATAGATCTAGAAAATTAGTTGACATGTAGCCTTGTATGGATGATGAGCATCAAGATCTTGAATGAATGTAAAATTAATTGAATGATTTGAAACGTTACTAATTGTAGCGTTTCATTTCATCCCTTAAATTTACCGCGAGTTTATGTCGACTTTACCCTCCCATTATTCAAATTTAATCTTGTTTTGTATTAGCCCATTTATTTTTAATTTCACATTTTTCAATTGTTATTTCAGCCAGGTTGCCAAATAAATATACTTTATTCAACTAGCATTTCACTTTCAACAACTTCTATGTGACTCAAGTAAATAATCTCTAAATCTCTAAATTAGACAATAGGCTCCAACTTCAGCCCGTTTTCCAAACATACACTAAATATTAATTGTCAAAGAAAACAATAACAACTTTTTTTTAAGAAAACAATAACAACTTCATTATTAGACTATGTTTTGGAATAATCTCAAGCCAGGATAGAGTAAGAGGGTATTTTGGTAGCCGCGTGATGGCCAATAGTACAACTTAGTCACGTCACATGACATGAATCAAAATATGAATATCACTATCAAGTCCAAATGTCCAATTTCATAGGTCGATTCATGTTAGCCAACCTTAAACTCTTTTGCGACTAAGACTTGGATGTTGTTGTAATTGTCAAACTAAAATGTCACAAAGATATTTAGACTCAACGGTGGACTGATATTGAGTCATCTCTAGAGTTGGGTGCAATATCTAATTAATTTCAAATTCAACAAGACGAACCGACAACAGAAACAAAATAAATGTCAATGGACCAAAATTGGAATTAGCCGTTCACATAAACCATCTAAAAATCGTATTAAACTATTGTATTTGTAAAACTTTTGTTGGATACATTATTCTTACTGTTGGAAGAAGATATTGTCATTTCCTTTGATTCTCTTTTACTATTTTGATTCCCCAGAAAACTGTATCATCATAATTTGGGACTTTTTTATTTGTTTATGCTTGAATATTTAGTGATGCAGTTTTGTTTTGGTTTAGTTGAAGTTGGATCATCTGTAGCCAACAGATAAACTTCCCTTAGCTTTTTGTGCATCCTTGGAACAGTTTTAATACATAAGATAAAAGATGTACTCACAGAGTAATCTGTTTTCCTAGTTAATGGATGCATGTTGCAGGGTAATCTTCATTTTCATGAACTTATTTTAATTTGATCGATTCCCTTTCATTCACCATGCTGTTTCTACGGATTTGAAACTTGGTTTTGTCCATAACCTCCCAACCCAGCGTCATAGTATTCCAAAAAGAAGAGTTTCCCCTTTCTTAAAACAAGTCACTTTTTTCTTCTTTTTTCGGTATACACTCTACCCTTTGCGTACTGTTCCTGAATGGTTTGTGTAGCTTCATTTTGGAGAAGGGTGGTAAATATTTCTTATTATGGAAGGGCTCAAATAAATTTGTGGTTTAATGATTTAACATCTGTCTTTTGTTATGACTTATGAGAAGGTTACTTTATGAATGTTTCTATCTTCAATAGACTCACTTTATTAAGTTCATTTTCTATAAGCAGATATGATGAGTGAAAATGGCTTCATTAGACCCTTTTGTGTTTGTTCTGAGTGCAGAGATTAATTGAATATATATTGTTCCTTAGTTATTATATGTACTTTCCCAGGTTTTATCTAAATATTCTTTTCCTTTATACATCTCTACTCTATAAATGTAGTGAACCATTATATACCAATTCTAATATCTATTTTCATTTCTACTGTATGCTTAAACGTAGTGTCAAACCCAAACCTAGGGCTTAGCATATTCCGGTCCGGACCCGAAAACCGGACCGGTCGGTCCAGACCGGACCCAGACCGGATAGATACCGGTCCGGTCTTCGGTCCAAGGGTTTTACCAATTCCGGTTCCAGTCCGTTCCAAAACCCGGAATATTCCGGTCTGGACCGGTTAGACCGGAATTTAATTATTATACTCCCTCCGTTTCTAAAAGAAACTCACACTTTCCTTTTTGAGGTGTTTCAAAAACAAAGTCACACTTCCCTTATTTCCTTATTTGGCAAAGAAATCTACATCCAATCAGTGCCAAACAGTGCGAAACAGTGCCAAACAGTGTCCAAACAATGCCAAACAGTGTTTAAACAGTGTTTTCTACAGTAGTCAATTTATTTCCTTAATAATCGTGAAGTCAAACCGTGACTTTCTTTTGGAAACGGAGGGAGTATGTATATATATATAGAGAGTCATTTTCCTGTCCGGCCAGGCCAGACAGGAGGCTCGTCCGGCCACTTCAATTTGAGGTGTTTCCCGGTGGAATTTTTTGCTGAAATTTTTTGTGTATGTTCTTCATCAAATCTAGTTCATCCATACCAAATTTGAGAACACAATTCAATCGAGAAGGTCGTCAAATGATTTTTGCATGATAACTGCTCCGGAATATACACATAAAACGCAATTATCTTGCAAAAATCATTTGATGACCTTCTCGATTGAATTTTTTGCTCAAATTTGGTATGAATGAACTAGACTTGTCGAAGAACATACACAAAAAATTTCAGCAAAAAATACCACCAAGAACCACCCCAAAAGGCGGACGCCGGACGGGGGTCCTGTCCGAACCCGCCGGACCTGAATAATTGTGTGATATATATATATATATATATATATATATATGTACACACACATACTCCATACACAGTACATTAATTTACTTAAAAAAGTACATTAATTAAGTGATACAATACCTTAGACATTAAGTCAAGTTACATACTCCATACATATTATTTACATATTTAATGGTACATTAATTGGGTCGGATGTACGCAGTCTTACCCCTGTACTAAAGCACAGAGAGACTGTTTCCGGATGACCCATAGTGAAAATCCCGTCCAAAATTGCATGGACTGACAACTGTTTCATAACAAAGAAGCGCAGACAGTTTAGTGAGCCATTTTGCTTTATTCCATCATAATCTCAAGCCAAAAAATAATGAATCTTTGGCTCCATTGCAAATAATGGAAAAAGATAATTCGTACTTCACTAAAAATAATCATCAATGCCACTTTTCAAAGAATGATCGTGTCAAGAACATGTCTAACTGCATGATATCGCTTCATCATAACTCCATAGTCATTTAAATGTCTTATAACAATTTACATATGCTCTTTGATAGAATTATGACATATTTAATAGTCATAGTTTTATATCAAGAAGCGGGGGCACTTATTTTGTCATAAGTACTAATACTAAATTTCGGGGTCGGAAGCGGGGGCACTTGCCCCGAGGACCCCCAGGTCCTCCATTGCTTGTTTTAATCATAATACATAGTGTGATTAATTGAATTCTTTTTGGCCTAGTCCCCCTCTCCGTTTGTAACCTTTACTTATTAATAAAACTTGACAAATGTTCTCCGACATTTGCCCCACTGATTTTGGTGGTTTGCCTTCCGGGTTAAAAAAAATAATTGAATTCTTCTTTGTGTTAAATACACAAAGTTATTGAGTCAAATTATTCATTAAATTAATCAAGCAAGAATATTAGTTTCTCGTACTAATATGGTCATTCGTAAAATTTTATAGAGCCAAAATATAATCACATAGTTTTGATATTTCTACTAGGCATAGTTCATGTGTTTATTTCTACTTATTTCATGTATTGTATGTATATTATATTGATTAAAAGAGATAAAAAATGAAAATCATACATATAAAAGAATAAATTAGATAAAAAAGAATAAATTAATACTCTGAAATAGAAACAACGAGCTAATAAGTAAATTATTGGACAATCAAAACTACGTAGTATTTTTTTAAAAGATGAAACATTGTAAAAATAATAAAATAAAAAATCCGGTCCAATACCGGTCCGGACCGGAAAACAAGGAATAATCCGGTCCGGCCCGGTCTTGGACCGAAATTATATAGGTCCGGTCTTCGGTCCACTTTTTTTTAGAATTCCGGTTCTGGCCCAACCGGTTCTGGTCCGGTCCGGTCTTGGACCTGTGCTCAGCCCTACCCACACCCACACATATCCTTGTCTGATATATATATGTGTGTGTGTATGTGTGTGTATGTGTGTGATATACTTGTCCAAAATTTGTGTTAATCGATTCAGCTTAGCCGTCCCTTATCAAGTCTTATGTACTAGCAGGTACCTTTAAGTAAATTATTATTTTGTTGTCATGGGGAAAAGGAATACACCACGTAGTAGCCACGTGATTGACTATGAAGCTGATCAGATGGGGCAAAGCTATATCAACAGCACTGACCCATTTGTCTTTTATGGGAATAATGTACCAACAAACCCACAGTCTAATGGTCATACTATAGCACCACTGTCAGGAAATACCTATTTATGTCCTCTGCAAGATCAGCCAGCCAATGCTTCATTTTACGGGATGACCCATTACAATGGCACTATTCGTCATCAAAATCCCTTCACAAACCATTATAATAATCCATACATGGCTGCTGCATCCTCTACTAGAGAATTTCCCATTACTATTCCTTATGGAAGGACTGTTCCTTACGTGGATGGTGTCAGAGGTTCATTTAAGAGTAAGAATGCTGATGGCTTCCCCATGAACTATCATTTACACCATGCTATGGTTGGCTCTACTTCTTCAGTTGAGGCTTCTCCGATCCCACCTGAATTGTCACCATTGGCCGAAGTTGTATTGCAGTGTGGTCAACAAGAAGCTGTAGCAGCAGGACACAACAATAATAATCACTTCATTCAAGGAAACTTTGTGGGTCAAGGCTTTCAGTTGCCAGCTCACTCTTGGCTGGACATGCAGCAGATCAACACTAATCAGGCTGCTCCTTTGCATTATTTACATGGTAATTTCGAGTGCTACCATAATTCTGTATCTAGAATTTGTGCTCAAGCTAGTTTTTTTCGATACGTTTTTAAATTTTAATGTCTAACTACAGCACTTCAATTCCTTCTTTGGAACAAGCTTTATAAAATTATAACCTCTGTCAGTGTCATTGTCTGTACTAATTTTCTTCAGGTTACTATCTCTTCGTGATCATTCTGGAAATGGAATAACAAATATTTGCCTCATTTTGTTGATTGCTATGTTAATAAATTATCAACTAAGTGGACTAGATGGACGCTTTAAGCTGGACAGGGTGGCAGGACTTTTTTCGGATCTATAAGTCATAACAGCATAAAAATAACTCAAGTATACAAGCTGTTTTAATCACTAAACAGCACAATTTCTGTTCCGTTTTCCATTACTTTCACTTTTACAAGAAATACATTTTAGAGCTTACATTGATATGTTGATGTTTAAATCAATTGTGTATATCTTTACTTTTTCCTTGACATACAACAACAGGCAGTGTGGAAGGTTGTATGGATGGAAACATGGGCATACAAGGTTACCAGGTAGTGACAAACAATGTGAGCTTGACGAGTTGTATATGTCCCCACATTCCACAAGGGTTTTCAAGTGTACACCATCTTCCACCACCCGCACAAGCGTTCAGAGACCATAATGTCAACTTCCCTCCTCAAATGGCAGCATCTTCAAACAGACTCCTAGCAAATTTCCCCTCAAGTCCTTCCTTGGGTGTTGTTGAGGCGGGTCCTACATATATCGGTCCTTTCCCACCACCTACAAGCTTTACATCGTACACACCTCAACAAAGGGATTTTATGTCTGAACCAAATATTACGAGAAACCGTAGTGTTCCTCACATGAGACTTCTGCCAGAAGATGTAGTACAGTTTTGTTTTTAACACTTCATACCAATATCTAGCTAACCAAACAAATAACACGTGTCTGATTAATTGGCGGTTTAATGCAGGGAGTAGCTATCTTAGAGATTCCTGACTATGAAGTAGTAGGGAGTTCTGTTGATCAGCACAGAGAGATGCGTATGGATATAGATCACATGTCTTACGAGGTAAAAATGAACAGAGTTCTAAGTAGAATGTTCTTGTATGGATTTAACTTTTGAGTGGGCCCAGTATTCTGATGAGGAGTGATGCTAAGATTATAAGAAGGCTTTAAATAGCGGCATTCTAGCGAGAAATTCCTATATGACACATTCAGCGGGTGATGATTACTTTTCTAACTTTTCATCAACCAATGAATGTGTTACACATAAGAATGTCACTGTGCAATGTCCATAATTAATGGTCCCTACTCTTCTGATGGGATTGAGTGACACACAAGAATTACACTAAAAGATGTAAAAAATAAATGTCTCCTTAGAATTGCCTGACAAGGGGAGGTGGCCTAGTTGGCGAAATGTACACTTACGCTTGATATTTTCAGAACAGGATCCCCTGATGTCATATGTAGCCTGTTTGGGAGATAACTAATTATATGCGTGTTCTCTTTTAATTACCAAAAACCACCAATCTGCTGCTTTCTTAGATAAGCACTACTAGTGTTTTTTTACTATTGAAAGCTTTTTTTCATTATCCGGCCAAACATTTAATTTTTAAGTTAAATTACTTTTATTCCTTAGAAAGCACTTATTCCTTCAAATTAAGTCACCCAAACACACTTTACAAATTTAGTGTGGTTGCGGGGATTGCACCAGATTGATGTTTAGTCTAGAGAGCGGTGTTTACCTAAAGGCTAAGGCCCACTGGTTATTGTTTGTAGCAGTAAGCAGCCGTGTGATCTTCTTCATTAGATTTTTTTATTGCTCGGGACTGGGTTTACCTATATTTCATATGTTGAGGGTTTCTCCTGAATTTCTTAAAGCCTTCTGAATAATTTCTATGTGCCAGGAACTTCTTGCATTGGGGGAGCAGATTGGCTGTGTAACCACTGGGTTGTCAGAAGAATATATCATCAGCCTTTTGAAAACAAGATTTTTTACTTCATCGGGATCTTCTCTTTCTAATTCCTACTTTGCAGAATGTTGGAATCAAGAAACAAACTTTTGTGTCATATGCCAGGTATCTTCCCACCATTGATCTGCGCTTTCCACCACAACCACAAGTCACAAGCAATTCCGTTATTTTACTCTAGATTTAGAGCCTCATAGGCTCAGTTTGATTGACAGAAACAATTCTCATCGAAAAGGTTTTGTGGACATGGATTCATCGATTTTTTTAGAAAATGATTTCCTCTCTTGTAAAGTAGACATTTTCCTGTCTGCTTTTGGGGGTTTTTATGCATAAAAGTATAAAACAAATTATCTTATCAGGTAAGTATTTCACTATGAGAACATTCTCCCAGAAAATATTCCCCACTCCTTAAATCAGAAGGAGCCTTGGTTTCCAATTATTCCCCTGCGAAAATATTTGGATGCATTTGATCTCCTGGGTTCCTTCACCATCACAGCCATCACCAAAGGTGCTTGTTATCTTTCTGGCTGATACTGTACAGTAATGTTTTTTCGTGTGTACTTGTTTGTTATTTCAGCATGAATATAAAGAGCAAGAGAACGTTGGGATAATTAGGTGTGGGCATGAATATCATGTAGATTGCATAAAGAAGTGGCTGGTTGTGAAGAACAGCTGCCCCATATGCAAATCCACTGCTCTTTCAACAGCAAAACCGAATTTGTGAACATTCCCTTTTTGTTTTCGAATTCGTAAGTATTTATTGGGGGGATGACACTGTCTTAACTGTACTATGTATACTCTGTATATACTTCGCTCATATGTGACCCAACCTTGTCACACCATATATCTTCTCGGACATGTATGTATTTCTCCCTCCTAGTCTTGCCCTTTGGAATTGTACAGATTAGAATTCTAAAGGTTTCTTTGTGTTGAACTGTGCATAGGTTGTATCAAATATTCAAATTGTTGTTGGTATGCAGATGCGTATCAAAATATATTCACCGATTCTTCATTTTGCTGGCTTTGCATAACCCAAGCCCCCTCCCCTAAGCCATGTTGGTTGTTGATATTCTTCTTTTAATTCTAGTACACTTTAGTAATCTATGTATATACCTAAAACTCGTAGATAACTGAAAATTGGATTTCCTACCCAAGTAGATTTCGTTTGCCACACGCCCATTTGTAGAAAAGTCCATCGTGAAATGTTAAAAATACATGCTCATTTATTTGTTCCTCAACATTTTTGCACAACTAATTGAAAAAAGTACTCATTATGTTTTAAGTCGCAGTTAATTGATTAAAAAGATTATATATAATTGTTTGATACTTTGATGTAGTCATGTTTAGTATAATAAATTGTTGTGTTTAATTAGTAGTAAAAGCGGTATATTTTCTCCAAGTTACTTCTCCAAAAAGATTGTAAATTTTTTTAAGTATCTTTGCTCCATAAATGTCATCTAACAAGTAACATAGATCTTTGCCCGGGCTCGGTTTGGGCCAAAACTTGTTTTTTTCAATTTTTTTTAAATTTTCGGGTTGGGCTGGGTATTTTGGGCCATTTGGGGTGGTTTGGGGGGTTGGGGGTGGGAGGGGGGTTAATTAGGAAGAGGAAAAAAAATTGATAAAGGGCCCAACCCGGTTCGGGCCTAGCCCGGACTCGAACCGGACCTGGTGGTTACCCGGGCCGGTCTCGGGTCCACCACTCCTGAACCGCCGGCCCGCCCGGGCCTAGGCCTGACCCGGACCCGGCCCGGACCCGAGTCCACCCCTAGTTTCATGAAGATGAGGCAGAAGGTTTACTTGTACGAATAAAGTTATCCATGAAAAATCGGGCCAATCTTTGAAGTGTGAGATATAATTTATGGAATTCCCCCTAAATATTACTAAATTGGAGTCAATTTTCTTAAATGTGATCACTCTTAGATATCGACTAAAATGTTACTAATAAGGTCATATATTTGAAAAAATGTCACTGCAAGTTTGTCACTACTGATTTTTTGTGTCACTGAATTTTTCGTGTCACTGAAAGTTTGTCACTACAGAAACTTTTTTGTCACTATTGCCGTCAAGTGTGTCACTGTAATCACCAGATAACTTTCCGGCGACTTTTTCCGGCAAAATTTTGACCACAACACCACCGCCGGCCACCTGCCGACATCGGTGTCCCATAGTCACTGCTCCTCCCCGAAGAAGGCCAACCCCAGCCCTACGCTCCAACAACTCCAACCCCAAACCCACTTACCTAACCTGTCTCCGTCAAAATCCCCGACCAGCCCCTGCCCTAGCCGCACCGCCCATCCATGACTGCCGCTACTGGCCCCTAGCCCTGTCACAACCCCGACAACCCTAGCATAGCCGCTCACCACCGCATATATGGTAACGCGGATGACGGAAATCACTGGTCTGACCTCGCCCTTCCATCTTGTCATCGATCCATCGAGGATGATGACAGATGTGGTCGTTCACACCCCCAAAATCAGTTAGAAATAGAAGAAAAAGAGGGGTAGATGGCGATGCAGGTGAACAATGACGTTGGTGGACGATAAGATCGATGACGGTGATGGGGCGGCGATGGGGCGTCGCTGCTGTGCCGATTTCCTCCTCAGCGACGGTGATGGGGCGGCGCTGTTGTGCCGATTTCCTTCTCAGAGGCGGTGATTTCCAGAGCTCTCCAAACCTAGATGATGTTTAAGAGATGCAGAGATAAGGAAGAGATGGAGACCTACGCGTTGATAAGGAAGAGACGGAGACTCAATGACGGGAGGGATGGGTTAGAGCATTAGGACAAATGGGCTAAGCTCAATGCAACTAGAGGTTCCACACTCCCCATCAAGCTTGGACATATAAATCATATGAACCAAGCTTGTTACGAATATACTCCACTATAAGACCTCTAAGAGACCAGGTAAAACATTTTCAATTTAATCAATTGTGTTGACATAATTTGTGAAAAAAATGTTCAACTGCAATCTTTTCTCGGATAAAGTGGCAATCAACTTCAATGAGTTTAGTCCTCTCGCGATATACCAGATTCGATGCAATGTGCATTGCGTCTTGATTATCACACAATAATTGAACATGTTTTGTGCCTCCATATTTTAATTCCTGGAGGAGATGCTTCAGCCATAAGATTTCACATGTAGCAAGGGCTATCACGTAGTATTCTGCTTCACGTAGTATGATGCAATGTGCATTGCGTCTTGTTTCTTACTCTTCCAATAAATTAAATTTCCACTGATCAAGATGCAATATCCCAAAGTAGAAAGTCTATCCATCAGACATCATGCCCAATCCGCATTACAGTATCCCATAATATCACAGTGATCTCAGTCTCCGAATAACAACCATTGCCATGGTGTTTTCTTGATGTATATCAAGACTCGAGTAGTCGCATCCCAATGTCCATTACATGCTTTATTGAGAAATTGACTAAGAACACTTACCAAAAATGAAATTTCTAGTCTCATGATGATAAGGTAATTTAATTTGCCAATGAGCCTTCTATATTTTCCTTTGTTGGGAAAATAATCTCCTTGCTCCGATAAGAGTTTGACGTTTGAATCCATTGTTTTATCCACTAGCCTACACTCTAGCATACATGTTTCCTCAAAAATGTCCATGGCATTTTTTCGTTGTGATAAGGCAATTCCGTTTTGAGACTGTGCGACCTCAATGCCAAGGAAATACCTTATCTTTCCCAAGTCTTTTGTTTGGAAGTTGCTAAAAAGATATTGCTTGAGAAGTTCAATTCCTTGTTCATCATCACATGTAATGACAATATCATCCACATACACAACAAAATAAATATATCTATTGCCTACATGATGTCTATAGAATTCATGGAGTATATTCCAATATACCCCAGGGGTATTAACATTCACGAACAAAGAGCCTCCAGAACACCAAGTCGATATTCTACCGAGGCCGACCTCGACCCACCCAAGGTCGGCTCAACATTAGGCCCCCAAATTATCAAGATAGGACCAAATCCGAGCTCGGCCCCTGATAAGTCCGTATTACAACACACATTTGATGCATGTTGGGATTGGGTTTTTATGTTTTCCTAACTTTTAGGTGTCACAAATCTCAATTTTAGCTCAAGTTATGTGTACCAGGTGATGGAGTATATGGGTCTAGGCCCCAGGACCCACATACTCAGGAGAACAGAAGGCACATCTGTCACCCAGTGGGACCCTCATCGGCCAGGTGAGCCTCATCGGCCGAAACGAAGTCAACCCAGAACATGATCCGGAAGCAAGAAGAACCGGGTGACCTCGTCGGCCGGGTCTTCATCGGCCATGCACTCATCGGCCAGACCCTCGTCGGCCACAAAGAACTCCCAGAACCGGATTTTACACTTACTCATTTGTATACTCCATCATTTACTTTGTATTCGGCCCAATAGCGGTCCAGTTGTAAATGGACCTCCCAAGCCCAAGGCTTGGGAGCCCAACCCATATTTTTCCTATAAATACTTCCTCTGGAGGTAGTTGTATGGGTTGGAAAATCATTTATTGAAGCATTTACTTGCACTTCTCTCTCTAGCTCTCACTTCTCTCTAGGAAATAATCTATCATTTGGTGCTCTCGTTGAGAGCTAGAACAATCAAGTTAGCATCCTTCGTCGCTACCAAGCACAGCTAACCACTGATCATGGGAAGAACTAAGTCAAACCGCAACCTCATCAGCAAAGCCATCCCTGAGGACCAGGAGAACAGGGAGCGTGAGGAGGACGCCACGGCCGACCAGGTCGGAGGAGGGGATGTCTTCCAGGAGGCCATCAACCTCACGGCGGATCTGCGCAACCAGCTCAACGGCGGCGCCCCTGATGCCCGCATCGGCCTGGATAAGAAGCGCGCAGAGAAGGCAGACAATGCCACGGCCCAACCATTGGCCACTGCTTCTCCGTCTGTTGACCCACAGGTTCAGGCCGCACTATCGGTCATCATCGCCAGCCTGGCTCAGAACCCCACCGTCCTAAGCGCACTCATGCCAAGGACTGGGGAGAACATCACTCCACCTCCTAAGCCCCAACCGTTGGCCATCAAGCTAGGCAACGGTGAGGGGGTGATAGCCCAGGACACGGCGTTTTCCCACTCCCACCCTGCTTCCCTTCTTCGGCTCGGACCGACCCCAGCGCGTGGAAAAGCCTCTGCCTTCAATAGGCTGGGTGACATGCGCCGTCGTCCAGTATCAGAGAGGATGGCGGGACGGATTGGTGAACACCGGTCTGGCTCTCCAAGGGAAAGCCTGGGGTCTGTGTCCCACACAGCGGACCAGCCCCACCTGAACAAAGGCAAGGGAAAGTTGCACGAGGACGACGTGCGCCACCAGATCAACACGGCCCACGAGGTCCGCATGCAAAACCAACAGGGCGCCACTACGGCCGCCAAAGACCCTAGGGACGAGGTTATCGCCCAGCTGCAAAGGAGATTGGCTCAGATGGAGGCCAGACAATCGGCGAACATTCCCACAGCCGGTGCCTCCAATGACCACGACCTCAATGCACTCATGAACAAGGTCAGCGCCCTTGAGAGGGAATTGGCTGAAGGACGAGGTGACCCTGTCATCCAGGTCAGGACTAGGACTCCCTTCACTAACAGGGTGCTCTCGCCTCCCATCCCGGAGAAGTACAGGGGAAACGCCATCAAGTCCTACGACGGCCGCTTCGATCCCCAGGAACACTTCAGCCGCTACCAGAACAACATGCTGATGGTGAACGCGTCAGATGAATACCTCTGCCGTTGGTTCCTCTCCACTCTCGAGGGTCCAACGTACGAGTGGTTCAACGCGCTTCCCGAAGGAAGTATAGACTCATGGCAGGACCTTGCCCAGCGCTTCCTCACCCACTTTGCTGGGAGGAAGCGTGCGAAGAAGTACTTCACCCATCTCCTCTCGGTCAAGCAGCAACACGACGAGTCACTCCGGTCTTTCATAGATCGGTGGACGAAGGAGATCGAGGAAGTTGAGGGGGCCGATGAGCGCACCCTCCTCGTCCTCTATCAGGGAGCTCTCCGCAGCACCCCA